TGAAGGCGGCAGTTAGAACCAGATAGTTTAAATAGGTACCCCCCTAGTTGGGGTACAGGTATGGCAGATAGTGTAGAACCTTTGGGTGGACTACTTAAATTAGGCACCCAAAAGGTGCACGTATGGCTTGATATACTATTGTTGTAATTGCATCATTAACGCTCTAATAAAAGCTTTCAAGCCAAAGAGGTCTCCTTAATTCATAAAAAAAAAAAACCAATTTGATTAATTAATTGTCTAACAATCCAAATTTTTACTGATCTTGAGATCTCGTGATTGTAATTTAGCGATTTTGGTCTTGTTAGAATCATCTCACTGAGACAAACATTTTGGTAGTTAATTCATCCAAAACGGACCTGTATATCAAAAGTTATTCGATGCTAAAGAAATTTATTTAGTAATTTTAAAATTACTATTAAAATTACACAAATTTTGAATGATCTTGAGACCCTGTAATTAGATTTTAACGAATTTGAGCTTGTTAGAATCGTCTCATTGAGACAAGCATTTTGGTAGTTAAATTATACAAAACGGAACAGTAGATCAAAAGTTATCATCAATTCCAGAAATTGGAGCATATGAAAAAGAAATAATAATGCACCTGTTATCTTTGAACCTCATGATGCTATACAACTATATTGATCACTAGAAGCATTTGTGAAATATACCTGAGCAGCCTTATTACTATATTGGGAAGTATAGTCATTAGCACAAATCTAATTGAATACATTAAAGACCTGCACAGATTGAATAAAGCCAAATCAGGAACTGTGTAGCCAGATAAAAACTGGAGACATATCAGGTTTCAATATATCTCCGGTTTTTTATTTTTAAATCAAATACATATCGGGTTCCCAATATGGCTATGGAATTCAACTAAAAGTATACTGATACTCCTTAACATTATCGGAGAATATCTGGTAATAAATCAGTTGACCCTATATAGCTACCGGTTAACCCAAATTGTTCCCGAATTTTATCTAATAAATATACAGACAATAAGGACAAACTGGTTAAATATATTAAAATTATCAGGCATTCCTATAAAGCTATCAGTTAACCCTATTTGTCACTGATTTCACAGGTCAAATAAAGCCATATCTGGTCTGTATAAGCTATATCAGGTACTGTATGACTGGATAAAAACCAGAGACAAATCGGGTTTCAATATATTACTGGTTTTTTAATTTCAAATCATAGTCATATCAGATGCCTAATATGGCTATAGATTTAACTTAACGTTAATATAACCTGATAAATATTTTATTATTCCTGGAACATCTATAAAAAATTAGCCAAAAAAAATTTTCGGCTAGTATTTTTTTTGGCATGATCGGTATATAAAAAATATATTTTTGAATTCATTCAATTTTAATTTACTGTAATATTGATATAATATCTTCATTATAAATTAAATATATTTTTGAATTCGTTTAATTTTTATTTACTATAATATTGATATAATATCTATATATGTCTAAATTACATTTTCAATTTCAAAAATCACCATAATAAATATAATACAAATAATTTTAATATTATAATGTCAATATTATTAAAATTTCGTTTGAATGCTTGCCCAATATGTTTAGCATATTTAACTTGTGCGAAAGTTTATAGAAAAGATTGTTTTAACTTGACAAGAAATATAAAAAAGGCTCTGGATATCAAATTAGCTTTTATAGTAAATATATCACACAAATAAGTGCTAATATTAAAAAGTTAAATATGATCAAGATTGGACTAAAAATTTAACTAAAGTCGAAATTCCAAAAGACCAAAACTTAATTAATATTTGTCGAAAATGCAGTAAAAATTATAATCAACACAATCAAAGCGAAACAGGTAGATCTAACAATTAAAGAATCTTTATCTTCTATGGCAAATACTTTTGAGTTATCTGACTTGTCTAAAGTGAATATAACTGATTCAGAAATTAATAGTAAAGAAGATTTTAAATTGGATATTATTAACATGAAAAAGCCTAAATCAGAAGCTATTAATATGAAATAAAATTATGTATAAATATATGAAATATTACCTTTTTGTACATATGGGGTGGAGTCAATAGAAAAGGGACAAATTTTTTCCAAGTAAAAGTTTTCTTGACTTTAAACTTAAATATCTCAGCAATTATCTTATCAAATTTAATAATTGTTTTTTTATTTTAATTCTTTATAATTTCAAAATTAAAACAAAAAAATTTTGAGCAAATTTGATTAATTAGTTGTTGAGATATTTTAATTTAAAAATTAAAAAAAATTTACTAAAAACAATTTGTCCATTTTCTATTGACTCCACCCCATATATTCAAGTTGGTGTATAGCCCTCTAAATTGTTGTAAGACTAATGTTACGTTCCAACCAAAGTTCCATCTCAGATTTACTAGTCAGGTTTTTCTTTCAATAAAACTTGAAGATGATTTATATCATTTATATATAAAGAATGTGGTTTTTCTGAAAGTGATGGAAGTTTTTCAATACAACCATATCTTTAAAAACCCAACTTATAGAAGACCTGTTAATACCTAAGTGTTTTGCAATTTTTCAAGTTGAAAGGCCTTCTAAATTTTTTTAATAATTTGCCAGCAAATGTAGTTTGAAAATATCATATTTTTTGAATTCAACAAGAGATATGCATAATTTTTTATTTATATTAGCCACCTGATTTTAATTACATATATATTCTCAATTTTTATCGATAATTCTGTAATTAAATTAGATTGATCTTAGTTTGTATAATATGAAAAATAGTAAAATTAGAATCTAACTTTATCACCAGTTACATGAAATCTTATAAATATACCTTAAGTATACCTGGTATTTACTTAATTTTTTTTTGCTTTTTTGCTTTTTCTTGATTGAATTTTTTTGTTAGAGTATTAATATTTTAGTCTTTTAGTTTCTTTTTCTTTGTCAGAGCTCATCATTGAAGTCGTCCATTCCGGTGCTTCGTTGTTGGAGTCATTCAGTTGGTGTCATCACGTAGTTTTTTTAGTCCTTCACGTTCAAAGTACATAGTTTCTTTTTTTTTCTTTGAGTACTAATATTTTCGGTCTTTTATTTTGAGATTTTGTCATTGGAGTCATCCATTCTGGTGTCATTAAAGTCATCCAGTATGGTGTTTCTTTGCCATTGTGTGGTTTTTTGGCCTTTCACCCATTTTTATTTGGGTAAAGTATTTTTTGATTGAGTTTTTTTTATTAGAGTATTAATATTTTGTCTTTTAGTTTTTTTTTCTTTATCAGAGCTTATCGTTGGAGTCATCTATTCCAGTGCTTTGTCATTGGAGTCATTCAGTTGGTGTTTCTTCATTGTCATCACGTAGTTTTTTCGGTCCTTCATGTTTCACTTTGTTTCAAAATACATAGTTTCTTTTTTTTTCTTTGAGTGCTAATACTTTCAGTCTTTTACTTTGAGGTTTTGTTGTTGGAGTCGTCCATTCCAGTGTCATTAAAGTCATCCAGTATGGTATTTCTTTGCCATTGTGTAGTTTTTTAGCTTTTCACCTGTTTTTATTCGTTTAAAGTTTTTTTTGATTGAGTTTTTTTTTATTAGAGTATTAATATTTTGTCTTTTAGTTTCCTTTTCTTTGTCAGAACTCGTTATTGAAGTCATCCTTCCGGTAGTGTTGGGATCCAAATAACAATTCAGATATCCGGATTAACATCTGTTTCAAAAAACGTCCATCTGGATATCCTTCTAAATTAAAATATTAGAATCCAGATATCTATCCGGATGTATCCGGATTTTATATATAATAAAAAAAATTGTTGTGCCTACGGCATCACCGATTTTTCAATTAATCAGTGCAGCCGAGTTTGTGTATATTTGAATTACCATGATTTCTATTATAAGTTATTGTAAAATAAGGTAGCTGCGTGACAGCATCACGCAAAACCTGGAATGAGAAAATATCTAGATATTAATTGGTTTAAAATTTTATGTTAATCTGATTCTGTATTTTGCAATATTTGATCTGACATATTAAATTTAGATCATGTACACAATTAGAGCTGTTAGTTAGTTTGACTAAAACTTGGTCTTGCGCTCTGTCTTAGACTTAGCCAGTCTGGTTTTTGTAGACAGACCAAAAAAAACTATCAGTATCAATATTGCATAAAATTATTGTAACATATATATATAGTCTAATTTTTTGTGATTTATTGGGTTTATATTATATGCACTATTATAATATAGTACAAGTGTAAGTATGACACCATGCAACTTGAGTTCAGATAAGACCAAAATTTATAACAATACTTTGTGTATAAATTTCAGAAAAATCAAGTTATAGAAATCATAATCAGCACGAATAGATACATAGATTATTTTAAATATTTCGATTTACAAATAATATTGACTAAATCGACTTGAATAAAAGATTGTTTATCGACCAAATCAGTATGACAATAAATTAATAAAACTAATAAGTGTATACATTATTTTTGAATATCTTTGATCAGCAAATTATTTCATACTTACCAACTGATTTTTCGGCACTCATGATATTATATAACTATCCAGATGATCATCTGGATGGATCTGATATTTTGATAGGTATCCAGATTTAGCATCTGCAAATTAAATTAAGTATCCGGATATCCAGATGATCCATAGATATCCGGATGTTTAGTTAAACAGATCCCAACACTACCTTCTGGTGCTTTATTGTTGGAATCGTTTAGTTGGTGTTGTTGTGTAGTTTTTTCGATTCTTTACATTTCAATTTTGTTTTAAAGTACATAGTTTCTTTTTTTTTTCTTTGAGTACTAATACTTTCAGTCTTTTACTTTGAGGTTTTGTCATTGGAGTTGTCTATTTCAGTGTTGTTAGAGTTGTCCAGTATAGTGTTTCTTTGCCGTTGTGTAGTTTTTCAGCTTTTCATCCGTTTTCGATTCATTTTAAAGTTTTTTTTTGATTGAATTTTTTTTATTAGAGTATTAATATTTTGTCTTTTAGTTTTTTTTTTTCTTTGTCAGAACTCGTCATTGGAGTCATTCATTCTGGTGTTTCGTTGTTAGAGTCATCTAGTTTTATTGCCATCGTGTAGTTTTTTGGTTTTTTACATTTTGATTTTGTTTCAAAGTATATTTGTTTTTTTTTTTTCTTAAGTATTAATATTTTTAGTCTTTTACTTTGAGATCTCGTTGTTGGAGTTGTCCATTCCAGTGTTGTTAAAGTTATCCAGTATGGAGCTTCTTTGCTGTTGTAATTTTCCAGGGTTTTACTCGTTTTTAATTCGGTTAAAGTTTTTTTAGACTAAACTTTAATATTTTTAGCTTTTTATATTCTTTTTCTTTGTCAGAATTTGTATTGGAGTCGTCTATTCTGGTGCTTCATTATTAGAGTCATCCAGTTTAGTGTTTCTTAATTGCCGTCATATAGTTTTTCGGTTCTTTATATGTTTTATTTGGATTTTTTTTCTTGATGGGTCATCCATTCTAGTGTTTTTTTTTGTTGTTAGAGCCATATAGTTTGGTATTTCTTCGCTGTTGCTGCATAGTCTTTTGACATTTTTTGATTTCTTTTTTAATTATTAATTGTAGCTTTGTGTGTTATATTAAAATGTAATAGTTTTTATAATAAAAAAAAATTGTAAATTACAATTACTGTTATTAGCAATTAGATACCTGACTGCTTTTGAATTAATTATGATAAATAACCGATTTTGTGCAATATTGAAAACAATAGGATATCTATCGAGCTATTTGAATACAAATTGAGATAACCGATAGGTATTGTAAAGCTTATTGATATATATTTGGTTTTTCTGTAATATAGTTACAAAAAGACACCAATTGGGTAACTGATATTAGTATGATTTGTACCGTATATATTACCAAATAGTGCCCTATTTGTGCCAAAGATCTGTTTATAATCAGAGACAAATCAGACACTCTTAGGCAAGTTTTACCAGTAAACTAGTATATTTCTATAATACAAAAATAGAAAACCTATTGGAAACCTGATAGTTAACTGGTATAGAATCATTCGACCTGTGCTGGGTTCTAAAAGTTGCAGAAAACTAGCTAGTTATGGTAGCATGCAGGCTTGAGATATTTACCCATTTGGATAAAGTCAGCTACATGGCTTAAGATACAAACTCCTAAAAAGTATGCTAAATAGGAATTGAGAGAGAAAATCTCTCTAACAAGTATACTAAACCAGAAGTAATAAGCACCTACCTGGTACACACTGATTTGAAAGTTGAAAATAAAAGATTTGTAGATAATGTGGTAGACATGTGAATACTAATTGGCAGTTGAAGAGAGATATATAAATCCAGGTCAATCACATGTGTGGGAGTATTGATAGCTCTAGTAGGTTTTAGCCATAGATGAATAGTCTTAGTATTTGATGTCCTAGTTTTGATATATAATATATATGTATTTATAGCACTATAATATGTCAATTTACTTAAGTATTAATAAAAGTCTGGGGTAGGAGCTATACCTCAAATATTTAAAAAAAAAATTATTAAAAGAAATAAAATATATAAATTTTAATTGTTTTATTATCTAAATAAATATTCTCAAATTTAATTGGTTAA